CAATCCTCTTTTTTTCACTAACCTTCTCAGCTTTCTTACTTTGTTTTTTTCCTACTTCATAGATCTGTCAGATTCACTTTGTTTCTCATGTATTCTTACCAAATACCAAATATATATGATTAACTAAATTAGTCAAGAGGACGAAAGACGACCCCCAAAAAGACATATTTTTGTATTGAACTAAATAGAATAAAAAAACAAAACACTTTGTGATGGTAATAAAACATTGATATCCTTCTAAAACAATGTAGTTCATTGTTGGAAATAATTAATTTTTATTGAAATTTATTCAAAATTGTATGAGCAAAATAGTTCATTGTTGCAAATCATGTTTTTGTGTAAGATTAGATTATATGTTTCTATAATACGCCACCTTTATAATGCTTCTACCGCTTCTACCAGTGAGTCCAATGTCCTCTCTCTTGGTCCGTGGGTCCACTCCTATCCGATGGTCGGTGTGTTGTTCGGGAGGCTCATAAGACTTATTTACTGATCTTACAAATTACCATATGATCTTTCTCCGTGTTTTGTCATCACTCACACGGTACCGCATACCACTTCCTAGTAGGTCACCCATCCTGAAATTTCCTCAACTCAAGCATGCTTAATTATGGAGTTCTCTCAAAACCAGTACCCGAAAAGATAAGTGCATAACCAAACAATTCTTATAAGTCTCTCCGCACATACCTGAAATCAGAAAGTTACAATTCACCTCCACTCACAGGTGCAACGCCCTCGTTGCTCACCAGGATCGTCACCCTAGATGGTATAAGCCCACATGACTCCACACACGTGTTTGGGTTCGGCTGTGATACCACTTATAACGTCCTGACCGCGCCTACCAGTGAGTCCAATATCTTTTCTCTTGGCCCATGAGCCTATCCCTATCCGATGGTTTGTATGTTGTCCGGGAGGCTCGTAAGACTTGTTTACTAAAGGTCACCTATCCTGAGATTTTCCTAGCTCAAGCACGCTTAACTCTGGATTTCTCTCAAGACCAGTGCCCAAAAATATAAGTGCACTTTGGTCACATAGATAACCAAATCGATTCTTATAAACCTCTTTGCATATACCAGAAATCGAGATGTTAAAATCTTGGTAGTATTTATTTTTTTTAAAAAAATTTGTGATAAAGTCCAAAGTTCTTTTATCGGGCAACAGAGATCCAGCGATTATTATAATTTGCTTATAACATGATATTGTCTCTCTTAAGTGATGACCATATACCTCCTTTTTACTTTTCTTTTGTAGTGGAATTTAAAGTATTATACTACGATATGTACATCTCTTAAAGACGGATGAGGACGACAAAAAAAAGAAAGAAAAAACGATAATGAGATGTTAGATGTATCGATAATGATATAATCGTTTATTGTCTTATGTTTAAGATTAATCTAACAATATATATATACAAGGATAAAATATAGCTTCCCACAGAAAAGGAAAATTAAAATCTAAGAGATATATACGAAAATATACAAATATACGAGGATATGAAATATCTTATATATATAAAAGAGGCTCAACTTTCTCCATATGTATGACACATCATCATTTTGAATTGATATGGAGATGACATGTGTCACTTTATAATTTAAAGCTATAATATTTTCAAAATTATAATAAATTAATGAATTTTAATATCAAATTTTAAACCACTCAAAGAAAATGAACAGTTTTTTCATTAATTGATTGATATTAATTGATATTTATTGAATTTTTATATAATTCTTATTTTTTTTATGATATTACATTTTAAATTGATTTCTAAGATTTTTTTGTTTTTGGAAAAAGTTTCTAAAATTGTTTATAATAACATACTAACAC